ATCAGTTTGCTCTTTTTTGACTGATAATTTCTCGGTTTTTTTTTTATCTCGGCCTCATGAACTTGGGTTTTATGACTTTTATTATCATGTCTCAACGAATCAGATTCCTTGAGAATCCTATTAGTTTTTGTCTTGTTTTTTTATGTTCATTTGCTTAAATATATAGCTAAATGTGGCTCTAAAACGACAGTAAATTGGCAAAATAAACTAATAGACGGCTTTGAAGCCGCACAAGTCGAATCAGATGGACAAATCCGAAAAAGGGTGATTTTGCCCAATAGCAATAGTGGGTTCATTATTAAAGAAAATAGCCATAAAGGTGGACTACTTAATTACATAGTGAGCCATTTTTTCATGTTTTCATTATTTTTAAGACATTCTTATTCGTCAGGCACTTCTTAAGTTTAAAGATTCCTAATACCCGTATTACCTTCAAGTTATTCTTCTTCCTTATCCCAAAAACCAGTTAGAAAAAAAAAACAAAATCTGTCATGTAGAGTAGAATATTGCGTAAAATCCATTTGGCTTCATCCTCTTTCTTAATGTTCTTGCGGTTAGTTAGCTTAGTTTTATGAAAAGCATGTCACAAATCTTTACTCAGATCCGAGTTTTGCGGATTACCCAAAAAATCCGAAATCTATTACGAAAATGCCATCGACTTCGATTAGATCGATTGCTGTTTCAAGGTAGCCGGAGCTCGATCAAGACGACGCGGCAGTGGAATCAAAAGCTGAAATCAGATATTCAGTATACAGGAGCTTGATAATTCTCCAAGATTGGTGGGAGCTTTTTCTCGTACGTGTATGCTCAAAGTTGAAGAGTTTAATGACATAGTTCTCTACGACTTTTTGATCAATTTATCCTTGCCATTACAATTTGGTGGTGGATGCGTGTACGAGCTCGTCCGAGAAGGGTCAGAGGAGAAACCACGGGAGATATGATAAACAAGAAAGACGAGTTATTTATTTGCGTACAAAGTATTCGATGAAATGTCTAAAAGAAATGACATAACCTACATTTTTCACATGGTCACTTACAACTCTTATTTTTTGGTTTTATACAGAGGATAGTTAAGCTCTTGCCCAGGACTGTCACCATTTTTCAAACATGTTTTATAGGATGTTTGTGTTTGTAAATACCAAAATTGTTAGTCTGTACACAAATTATTACAGTCATATATTTGTGACCACGAAAAATTATCCACGATAGTCTGTACACAAAAATCTGACCACGAACACAAAAATCTTTATACTAAAATACAAAGACAGAATTAACAAATTGTACACAAAAATATGACTGTAATACTTTGTACACTAAAATCTGACCACGGTTTGCTTTAGCATATAATAATGGTGAAGCTATAAAAAAACAACACAATACCATCCACGCTAACTTGTCCACAATACTTTTTCCATGCCCATATAATAATACGATGTAAACAAATTATAATTTGTCCACACAAACTTATCCACGATAACTATATCAGTTTTTCATTTGTGAAGCATATTTGACTTCGATAAAAAGGGGATGGTACACAGATGTCTATGCTAATATATCCACCGCAACCCATCCACATATACGTAATATTATAAACAAGTGACCATGGATATGTTACCATTGACACAAAGAAACATTACACTTAGGACGATACAAAAGACACACACTTGATAATCAATCCTACCAAATTTATGTGGTTTTAAACTCAGCCTGCAATC